GCATATGTCTTTTTATTTTATGTAATAGTATTAATCACTGTCCCTTGAGTGTTTACCACATAGCAAGAACTCTCCCATGTCCTTTCTATACTACTCAGCCATTTAATTCTTGTCACAACCCTAAAACGTAGGTACTATCTTATTTTACAGATGAGAAAGCAGAAACAGCAGCAAGTGGGACACTGGCATGAAGTCGCAGAGCTAAAACATGGAAGAGCAGGATGCTGAGTTCAGGCAGGCCTGCTCCACAGTCTCTCGTTCTCACACTGTACGGCCCACTCTGACAATACTACAGTAAGCTTTGCAAATATGTTTAAACTGTAACTATTTAAAATAACCTATGGTCTGGCTTCCTCCTGAAATGGTGTTTTCTTATGTTTGCAGTATTCTAAAACCTCGGTGTGGCCAGTGTACAGCCATGTCTACCACTGTCTCATGACCATCCTTATCACCATCGGTCCTAATGCTACCTTGTAAAAAACCTTTATAAAGTTTCAGTGTGTGAAGAGCACTGTACCAGGCCCTTAGGGAGCCACAAAGCATGTGCAGCATGTGTCCTTGCCCTCGAGAATGCCAGAGCTATCCAAGAACAGCTGCAAAGCGAAAGGCAGTAATCACCCGTGGAACATGAATTAATAATTTACATAAATATCTGAGCATTATAGGTTAGAAATAAGACTGCTTCTAGTTGAAAGAAATAGGTTTGTACCTACTGATTGTAGGTAATGCACACTAGCAGGCTTTTATTTATTTAAAATGATGACATCAGATCCATTTTCCACTCTATATGCAGAGAGAAAAAGATTTATAGAGAAAAATTGAACATTAAAGTCAGTTGTATGTATTACACTATTGTTTTATGATGTTTTTAGGATGGGTTGCACAATCTTCTGGTTCTTAATGTCAAATTTAAAAAATAACTATTTTCGCTTCTTTTTCTGGGAAACACCAAATGGTGGGTGATGCAGATGCAGCGGGAGGGGCCGGAGGTCCTGGGGGCCCAGGTATGGGAGCTTCAGCAGAGGCTTTGGCCGTGCCTTCAAAGTCCCAGGCTCAGCACAGGATGGGGCCAAGGCCCTGGGGATTGCAGCAGTAAGGCCAAGGACAAAGAGTGGATTACTGTCACCAAACTGGGCCAGTGGTCAAAGACATGAAAGTCAAGTCCCTGGAGGAAATTTGTCTTTTTCCTTACCCATCAAGGAGTCTGAGATTACTGATTTTTTTCCTGGACACATCTCTCAAGGATGAAGTTCTGAAGATCATGTCCATGCAGAAGTAAACTCGTGCTGGCCAACGGACCAAGTTCAAGGCATTTGTTGTCACTGGGGACAACAACGGTCATGCTGGCCTGGGTGTGAAGTGTTCCAAGGAAGTAGCCACCGCCATTCATGGGGTATCATCCTGGTCAAGTTCTCCATTGCCCCAGTGTGGAGAGACTACTGAGGAAACAAGAGTTGCAAGCCCCACACAGTTCCTTGCAAGGTGACAGGCTGCTGTGGCTCTGTGTTGGTGCATCTGATCCATGCCCCCAGAGGCACTGGCATTATCTCAACCCCTGTGCCCAAGAAGTGCTGCTGATTGCTGGTATTGATGACTGCTACACCTCTGCTAGGGGCTGCACTGCTACTTTGGGCAACTCTGCTAAGGCCACCTTTGATGCCAAGAGCTTCCTGACCCCTGAGCTCTGAAAAGAGACTGTGTTTACCAAATCTCCCTATCAGGAATTCACTGACCAGCTTGTGAAAACCCACACCAGAGTCTCTGTCCAGAGGACTCAAGCCCCAGCAGTGGATACAATGCAAAGCATTTTTACACAAGAAAAATAAAATGAATAAAGTCTGAAAATAAAAATAATAGATAATAAATAATAAAAATAACTATTTTCATATATAATACATAATTTTGTTTAATGACCTTAAAGAAATTATTCCAATCCTTATCCTGCAAAACATTCTGGACATTGCTAGTAAAAGATTTCTTATTCTAGTCATCAGATATTAATTGCAAATAAATTAAGAAGACTACAGGTATAAAATCAAGTAATGATTCTCCCTCTTTATTCAAATGAACATGATTATCTCTTTCATCTTTTTGAAAGCTACATAACTTTTTGGTATACTATCCTAAAAGTATATTATATATATTTGAAGACTCAAAACCTACTCTACTTTGTAATAATTTAAAATATTTGAAAGGTTTCATACACATATATTCACTACCAAATGTATGCCAAAAGCCAACTAATAAAATGGAACTTAAGCCATTCCCTTAGGAAGTGACTTTATCAGACAATAAAAATTATTTGTAAGTAGTATACAAATTATATGTAAGGTATTGCTCTGAAATATGTGAAGATGTGATTTGTGCTCCCAAGCATGTTGACTGTATTTATAGTATCCTGTTTGGACTCCTATATTATTGGCAGCCTTTTATTTTCAGAGATAATTAAAAGTAAACTTCATGACATTCAAATCAATGAGGGTGACTTCAGATTAGCATTAAATCCTAATCAGTATGAGCCTTCACCAGCCTTTTGCAACTGCTATAGAGCTATAAAGGCATCTTTGACTTGCATCCCAGGATTTCTCCCTGCGTGAGGCCCTTGGTTGCCATGGATCTCCCCTCTTCTCATGTCACATCCGTGTTTCCTAGTACTTGATGTTTCCTTATGACTTTCATGTCTTCTGTGAATCCATTCATCTGGCTTCTCATAATGACTGCATTCCTTGGGAGTGGATGCATGCACATAATGCATCTCAATTCTTTTTTACCCCCTTTTGTTTTTCTCCCTCACCCCTCCCTTCATCTCTTCATCCACTTCCCATTTGCAGAAGTTCTGTCATTCTCTCCCCTTAGCTACAGTTTATTTTGCTCTTTATCTATATTTCTGAGTTTCTCAGATGAGAGAAGCTATGCTACATTTAAGCTTGTGTGTCTGATTTGTTTCACTTAACATTATGGTCTCAACAGGCATCCATTTTCCTACAAATGAGTCAAGTACTACTCTATTGTGTATCAATACCACATTGTCTTCATCCATTCATTTGCTTATGGAAATAGTACAGGATAATTCAGAGACTTAGCTGTTATGAGTTATGCTCCTATATACATGGATATACATGCATCACTGTACTATGATGTCTTCAGCTTTTTCAGGAAGATAACTAGAAGGGGAATAGCTGGGTTGGATAGAATTTCTATTAGTTTTTTGTGGTGAGGGCATTCTTGCTGCTAAAATCTAATGGTAGAAAGTAGAAAGAGAGCTCGAGCAAGAGGGGCCCATACTCACTTTTATAACAAACATACTCTCACAATAATTAACTCACCCCAAGGTACATCAATCCATGTGTGGGAGCAAAGCATCCATGACCTAGTCACCTCCCATGAGGCCCCACCTCCCAATTCTGTTGCACCAGGAATGACATTTCCAACACATTTCCTGGAGGGGCACACTTAAACCCCAACATGTGTTATGGATGAATAAATGAATGCTATTGTCCTCCATATAAAACTACAGAAACAGACATAGATGTTTGGAGATTCACTTTACATCCCACTGAGTTCTGCCTACCCCATCAAACCAGAGAACACTATGCTCTTGGAAGCCAGAGGGAAAAAACCTTCCCAGAAATTCCTTTCTACAAGGGATTCCAGAGGTCAGCTCCTTGGGACACCTGATCTGAAATCTTGCTCCCTGTGAGTGTAGGTATAAAATGCAGATAGGACAGTAAGGTACCTCGACCAAAGCTGGCCTAGCCAGTTATCAGCAGCAATAATCTGTGATAATAACCAAACACAGATTAATCCATTTATAAAATGTACTAAGCTGTCTGTATCTGTAGCAGGTGCTGGAATGGACTTTAAACCCTAGGTTGCCTCTCCAGGAAGAATGGGAGATGACAAGACTAAGTAAATAAAAACATCACATTGTTTCTCCAAATGAATATGAAACATTAAATCACCTGTTTTCAGTTTAGAATCAGAACATAATTGTTTATATAATAAACACAGCGGAATGTTAAAATGGAAACTGCAATTCTCTACCAGATTTAAAAGAGACAGATACTTAATAGCAAGAAGCAGAGACAAAGATAAACAAGAAGCCAGATGAAAAAGGGAAGAGGGAAAAAGAAATCAGTAGGAAGAAAAAAGAGGGATGGGGGAAGAAACAGTATGAAAGGGATGTCAAGAAAAATAATAATCTCATCTGAGATAGAAGCAAGGTCTCAATGCTTGTGAATCAAATCCAGCAGGGAGAGAAATGTCGACTAATTTACTGAGTGTCAGGCACCCGGAGTGTTTCGTCCCTGTAATTATTCCCTCTGCCCTTCAGGTGAAGAAAATAGACTTGATCCAGTGATGAGACCAACATTCAGCCAAGTCTCTGACGATATAAGAAAAAGGAATTTTGATTTTAAAAACTCACTGCCATTATTTCACTTGACCCTTATGATCTTGATCTCATCCTTGGGATGACAATGCGAAGACTTCTAATCAGGTACAGATGTGGGAGTAAGGGTTTTGGCATCCCCCTCGCAGAAACGCAAAGATCGTCTCTGTGCTTAGAACAGTGGCTTAAGCATGGCAGATAACACCTGAGGAGCGCTTGAATCTCATTGTAGAAGTTATGCATCCCTGAAGAATGCTCCTTTTCCATTCCAACCCAGTGCTTCTGAAAATATCCAGTCTCCTCTCTTGCTTTGGCTTCTTATCAGGAGGATTAATAGAGGTAATAGAATTCTTACCAAAAAACAGATGGAAGAAAACAGCCCTCTGGGAGAATTTTATTATCTAAAACCTTTGTCGTGCGAAGTACTTGGTATCCTGGTTATTTTCTTATGAGACCACATCTGAGTCTTTCAACTTAACTGGTTTGTGAGGCCTTTTCCTTCCATGCATCTATGGGCAGCATTTGCAATGTCTACGTTTCGCAAATGCTACTGCTCAAATTTAGGCTTCAGAAATCCTTTCTTCATTTTTGCTTTAAAAAGTAAATATGAGTGCTCATTTCAGCAGCACATATACTAAAATTGGAACCATACAGAGAAAGATTAGCATGGCCCCTGCGCAAGGGTGACATGCAAATTCATGAAGCATCCATATTTTTAAGATCAAGTCAACAACTTCTGACACTGCCAGTCCTGTGGATGACCCACTACTATTATAGACTACTGGACTGTATTGGATCACTCTTCTGAATTCATGCACCTACAATATATGAATGGCGATAGAATACCCATCTCTGACAAAAGTAGACAAAAAGGGAGATATAAATGAAGGACCATTTTGTAGTGGGGAAAAAATACATATATATCTGTGTATACAAAATAACATAGACATACAGCTACTTTCTCTTAGTTCAGTGAGAAGAAAGTTTTCAACTAATAGTGTTTAGACAAGATATCATGTCTGCATCTTGTACTATGAATAACTACTACAAAGATGACAATAAGCAATGTATTAATTGTAACTGTAAAAAATAAAAAGTAAATACCATAGGCTCTTCAAGTGTTTTTTGGAAAAAATGAATGGTGGGGCATTACTGGGAATGGAACCCTGTGCCTTTGCACTGAACTCAACTGCATACCAGGGTTTTGGTTTTGATTTTGTTACTTGGAGACAGATCTTACTAAATTTCAAAATTTGAGCTTGAATTTGAAGTATTTCTACCTCACCCCCCCAGAGTACTGGGATTACAGGGGTGTCCCAACATGCCAAGCTAGAAATGAGGGTTTTCAAAAATTTTTTGACTTTTTTTAAATTAAAAAAGAGAATTGGATAGAGTAGGTCGATAAAAGGTATCTCTCTTATTCTTTTCTATAACATGTCCATTACCCTTACTCTTGTCCACACAGAGAGTGAATCTGCGTGAGCACATGTTTTGATGAGTAGACAAGAGTTATACTGCAATTGGATTCTCCCCAAATTTAGTGGAAAAAATAATTATTGATGGCTCGGGATTTGACGACATATCTTTTTAATTGTTATGTTTGTGACACATGTTAATGACATCCACCTTGTGGAACGGGTACCTGTACTTACCACACCTTAATCATTTTTGCTGCCCTTTCTTTTCCCCTCCATTCTGTCTCTTCCCATCCCTAGGTCTCCTTCCCAATTTCACAAAATCTACCTCCCTGCTAAGTGACATAAATCTGACACAAAAGGTTAAATATCATACACTTTGCTGTATATGAGAAAACCAAAATAAAAATTAAGGAGCAAATTAAAGTTAGATGATAAACAGAAATAGTCATGAGCCCCCTTTGCTGCTCTCATTTTCTCCCCTTATTTTGTCCAAATATGCTCCTTACCTAGTTTCTCTACCTTCAACTTCCCCTCTTCACCTGTCCTTCACCTGCTGCCAGAATGACGTGTGGGAAACCCAACTCTGCTCAGGTCACAGCCCTCCTCTGAGACTCTCTTGCCTGAAAAATTAAGGTATAATGTCCCTGGAGAGTATTCAAGTCCAACACCAGTCAATCTTTTCTAGGTCAACACCTCAAATCTACTTAGCCACCTACAGTGTGCCCTCGGCTGATTTCTCACAGTATTATGTCAGGCACCTTCAGGCCTCAGTATTCTGTTCATTTCATTTCTTCAAACTCAATTATCCTATTGTTCAGCTACCAAAAAAACAGCTCATACTCTGGACATTAAATTTGACAACCTAAACTATCATCTCAGAGATTCTCAAGTAGAATTAATGACTCCTTTTGCACTGCTAACAAGTACCTACTTTCTATGTATGTCTACTCAGGTTGAGTGCAAGGTCAATAAATAAATAATGCATGGTGTAAGGTACTCACTGAGTCATTAACAGATTCTGAGTCAACAGCAGATACTTTGAAGTTTATGAGTTGGGGAAACCTGCCTTCACTGCCCCAGAGCAGAGAAAGCAAGTCTACGATCTTCACTAGCAATTCACTGTTTGCTTACAATAAGGGAAAGGCATCTCAGGGGGAAGAACCCATCACTGGGCCCCATATAGAGTTAATGAAAAAGAGGCTTCCTTCCCTTCCTTTCAGCTTCACCTGTACTAATAACCCTCAGCCTAATTTGTTCAGTGTTAAGCAAATGAAAGATATGTAATAAACACTTGCTTCAGCCCCTGCCTGGGCCAAAAGTCAGGGCAGCTGTGAATCTTTTGGAATAGGTCAGGTCTCATTGCCAGGTACCAACATAACATACCCAGGAGAAATGTTGGTGTGTCTGCCAGGGCTGGGCAGGGAAGGTGATCAAAGCCCTGAAGAGATCAGGGTGGGTAGGTCGTAAGGAGTAAAGATCGACAGACATTCCTCCATGAGGGTGGATGGGCTGAGGGATCTTCCATGTGGAGGTTGACCCTGTGCTTGGCTCCCAAGAACACTCTTTAGGACCCCTGGTGATTCCTGGTGAGCCAGAGGGCTTGGAGCCCAGCATGAGCTAACCCATCCCTCACAGAGCTGAATGCATTCAAAGTCAGGAGGGAAAGGAAGCTCATTTTTAATCAACCGCCACACTTTGCTGGTGAGAATCCCACTGAACAGCAAGGAAAACAAGGGAAATATTAAAGACATGGGATGCCTTTGTCTCCCTTAATGTGTCAACATATTGTGATGCTTTCAAAACCATTAATTTTAGCATACACTCAATTAGTATGATATAAAAGAAGATTTTCCAAAACAAAATGTCAAATAAAATCATGATTGTCTGAAGAGCTGAGTAGCACAGTATTCTCAACCTTGTAGCAGCATGAGTTGAAAGCTTAGACCCTCTGCCCAGAACCTAAACTAAATACAAAAAGAAAAGTATCACTCTGATTCTAAATTGCAGAACTCTGACTGTAACGAAATTTACAAGAAGTAAACACCCTATAAAATACATTCCTCATTCTCTAGTTATAGGGAGACTGGCCACTCCTGCTTCCTCAAAACAGGCCTGGAAAATAGATCCTCATGAGGAAGCAGAAAGGAAGACCCTTTCCCATAACTGGTGATCAAAGCCTCTGGCTGCCTGTTTGGGGAAGCTCTTCAGGCTGTGTTTATCAATTCTATGTCTCTTTTCCTCCTAAACATAGAAGAAAAACAAAATGGAATGCTGCAGTGCATTTCAGAAAACTTCTTGCCAATGTCAAAACTAAAATCAGAGACAATCAGAACTACAGAAACAATGAAGTTATGGTGAAGGTTAAGATGGAGGCCAACGCACAAGAACAGGAAATGTTCTGGACAGGGAGAAATAAAAAACACAGGCCTCTCAAGTATTTCCCTCCAGGATCTCTCATCTTATATTGTGTATTTAGATGAGCATTCATTCTCCTATTCATTAACAAAGAAAAGTTGTCTGTAAAAATAACCATGGGAGGCAAGGGGTAGATAAGTTCTATAGATTTATGTGCGATCCGTGTTTGATGCGTGAGAGAGGGCGTGACATCCCTGGCTGGAGAGGTAGGGATGACTTCACCCAGGCAGAGGCATGCGGATGGTGTCTTCAAGAGTCTTGACAAGCTGAGATGACAGAAGAGGACATTCAAAGCAGAGAGCAATGGCACAAGGCACCAAGGCAGTTTAGTTTGGTTGATGGGTTAGATTCATGAAGGATGAAAGTCATGAAAAACTAGAATGAGAGGGTGATCGTGGAGCAAATCATGAAAGGCCTTGTATTTGTCACTTTCTCATTGCTGGGATGCACTGCCCAGTACTCACAATTTAAAGGAAGAGAAGCTTATTTTGGGTCACAGTTTCAGTTTGTGTTTGGCAGTCCCCGGAAGGCAGAAACAGCAGGGTGGAAGGACCTCCTACAGAGAAAAGCTGCTAACCTCCAGAAAGCAGAGAGCAAGCAGGAACCCGACAGGGAGCTTCATCCTCGAGGTCACGCCCCCAGCACTCACCTCTAATGGGGGGCCCTAATCCACTGAGGAATAGAGCACCTCTACACTTCTATCTCCCACCCACCTTCCAAACATGAGGCTCTTGAGGGACACCCAAGATCTAGCCCATGAGAAGCCATGAGCACAGAAGCCAAAATGTTCAGACTTGTTCAGAAAATGATATGGAGCCATGGATCATTATAGGCAGGAATAAGATCCAAGCTGTGGTTTTTCTCTTGGTTGACTGTTTTCCAGGTGAGGAGATAAGGGATAAGTTAGGCCAGGTGAAAAATGAGGAAGAAAGACCATTGGGGAGACTTTTGCAAGAATCTGCTGGAAGAAAATGATGGTTCAAAATAGTGAAATAAAAACCTCAGATTATGTTGCTGCTGCCCTTGATGTCTGGAGAAGCCAATCAAGCAATAAATACTGCCCTACGAGCATCCCAAACAGTTATGTGGGTTGGACTTCAAATAGTTCTGGAATTTAGGGAACTAAAGGCAAAGTGTTCTACAACTGGTCTTCTACAAAGCTGACACAGCTCTTGCTGGAAGGACCAAGAGTCCACTTCCTATCAAAGAAGCTGTGTTGGGGAGATAGCTCAGTGATCTAAGCACCTGCCTGGCAAGCACAAGACCTGGGCATAATTCCCAGTATAGCATGCCCTGCCAATCCTGTGCCATGCCAGTCCCAGAACCCTGGGACATGCTGCACCAACCACCAAAACCAGGCATGGTGGCGTGGTGGCATGGTGGTGAATGGTGGTGAATGGTGGCGCACGGTAATCCCAGCACTGTGGAGGCTGAGGCAAGAGGATCACTTTGAGTCTGAGCTGCATAGTGAAACCCTGTACCAAAAATAAAAAAATAAATAAATAAACAAAAGATTAAAAAAAAAGCAGTGATTCCACACAGGTGTGGAGTAGCATGTGCAAAGACAAAATACAGAAATGAATCCTTAAATAAAGAGCTATTGTGAAATTCTCAAAAGGAGAAGTGCCAGTGAGCCATATCACTTTTATTTTGAAATCTTCAACCTCTTTAACAAAGAAGAAAAATAAAAAGATAAAATTGTTTTTCTATTTATTTTGTAGATATTTTCTGAACTTTTGCTCCAGTTAGTAAGGGCATAAAACCATGTGGCAATGTGGACCAAAAGTTGTAAAACTGCTTATTTTTTGGCCCAATATTTCCATTTCTAGGAAATGATGCTGAAGAACTAATCACTGATTGAGAGGGATTTTTATATCATTAAAAA